CCCCCCCCCCCCCCCCCCCCCCCCTCCGCCCGTGCTCTTGCGCTGTCTTTCAAGGATCTCAAGGCACCGAAAAATGTATCTAGGTAAGCGTTGATGATGATGGTTTCGGCGCGTTACATCTCGTGCGCTCATTTTTTCCCACGTCGAAATCTTGCTGCTGCTGCTGCTGCTGCTGATGATGATGATGCTTGTTGATGTTGTTGTTCTACCGTCTCCACATATTGACGTTTCACATGTTCTGCAATGAGTCTTGATGGTGCTGCTGCTGCTGCTACTGCTGAATATTGTTATCATTCTGTCTCCAGATGTCGGCGTTTCACATGTTCTGCAATTGGCTGGGCACCGTGGTGTACTTCGCTCGCTCCGGGGAGGAGCAGCAGACCATCAAGCGGCAGCAGTGGCCCACGCTCATCATGTTCAGCGTCGTGTTTGCGCTCAACATCTCCGTGGGCAACACGAGCTCATCCATGGTGCCGGTGACGTTCAACCAGGTGCAGTGTGTGGTGGCGCGATGTTTATGTTCAGTGTAAACGGCGGAGGGTCACGGAGGCCCGAACATGTGAAGGCAACCCGCCTACCCCTCTACCGGCACGTGCTTAACTCTGCTATTTGTCTCTGTCTGTCTGTCTGTCTGTCTTCCTGTCTCTCTCTCTCTCTCTCTCTCTGTGTATGTTGGTTTGGTCCAGGTGATGCGATCGCTGGTTCCGGTGATTGTGATGGTGATCGGGACGCAGGTGTTCGGGAAGACCTTCTCCAGGGCAAGAAAAGTGAGACAGACACAAACATGCAAAGAGACAAGACAGACGCAAAACACGTGCAAGTAGGACCAAGCAGGCAGGCAGAAGAAGAGAAGAGAAACGAGACGAGAGAACTAGAGACGAGACAGAGAGAGAGAGAGAGAGAGAGAGAGAGGGTCGCGTGAGTCCTACTCGTCCAGTGTACTGTACCTGTCACCCACAGAGAGCCATTAATAGGAAGTTGGTACGCGATTTTGGAGACTTGCCCGCTCTTTGCTGTCGGTGTGAGAGAGCCGTTGCCTCACCCGCCGTACTTCTGTAGCCTCGCTGTCGTATTCATAGCCTTGGGGGGGAAAGAAACACGCACGCCGCGGTTCTTCCAAGGCTTCCAAAGCGCTTTCTTGCTGCCAAATGATTTCTGCTGGTGCCGCGTAGGCCGATAGATAGCACTATGGGCGGCTCTGGTATACCCCGCTTTGAGACCAAGCTTGGAGGTAGCACTGGCCGAAGACAACCATTGCCGTCCAACCTCGGTGTGGTCCCAACCGCTGGTCCCCCGCCCCCCCCGCCCCCCCAGGCAAACCTGCTCCTCTCTTTTACTCCCGTCATGTATCCTCTTTTTTCTTGTTGATGTTGCTGCTGCTTTAAGAGAATAGTCATCCAACTAAAGATGGACATAGCTGTTCGCTTTTGTTGCAACTTTCCCTCCCGCTTTCCCTGCCACACCAATTCGGCTTGCCTTGCCCGAGTTTTCCGCTTTTGTTTGCAACTTTCCTTCCCGCTTTCCCTGCCCGACCATTTCGACTTGCTTCACCAGCCAGCTCGCGGTGTTGTTGTTGCAAGCCCTTTCTGGAAACCCTTTCCTCCCGCTTTCCCCTGTCCGACCCCTTTGCGACATGCCTTGCCCGTGTTGACACTTTTGTTGGAACGTTTCCTCCCGCTCTCCCCGTCCTACGTACATGCCTTGTTTGGCTTGCTTCGCCCCGCCAGCTCGCAGTGTTGCCCATCGTGGCGGGCGTGATCATGGCCTGCTACCCTGACTCAGCGAGCGATTCTAACCCGGAGGCGAGACCCTTCCGGGCGGTGGGGGTGATAGTGACGGTGTTCTGCGTCATGCTGTCGGGGCTTAAGAACGTGGTGTCCGGAGAGATGCTAACGGGGGATATAAAGGTATATACCTACCCTTTCTTGCTACTTACTTTTTGTCGATCATATGTTCGTTGTTGTCGTCATTGTTCACTATTCACTATTCATTGTTTTGCTCACTATTTTGATTTCGAGGTTTTCATTTCTTGTTTTTGGGAAAATATGCATCCAATCAAAGAAAGGCTATCTACCCGTTCGAGACATAACCACAGTCGAAAGGGATGTGTTGGATTTTTTACCCTGAGTTTGTTTCTTTTTTGTTATGTACATCTGTCTCTTTTGTATGTGGACGGGCCGAAGTAGGAAGAAAACAACGACAAATGAAGACGGAAGCATAGGTGCAGCACTGTATTCTAGTTGAGTCTTGCTGCAATCTGAGCAAAAGCCGAAGAGCAGCTAGAAGGGTCAGAAATCGAACACGATCACGAGACATCTGTGGATACTTGATTTGGTCTTGAGATATGTCGAACGATGTTGCGTACTTCTTTTTTTTTTAAGTGGGGACGAGCTTACAGCCAATGTCACCGATTGCACGTTGCTGTAGTACGAACTCTCAACGCGTTTTCGAATGCTTTCGGCAGTGCGTTTGAAGTGAGGTGCGCCGTCACACTCGGGGGCTCAGCAGTTTCGTGTGTCATGTGTCTACCCCTATACCTGTTTTACTGGTAGTTCGAAACCTAAGAGGCATCATCATCGCAACAGCGTGGGTGACCGTGTTGCTCATTCCGTCTTCCTGCTTGACGGTAACAGCTTATCTGAAACCCGCATGGAGAGGCAGTACACAAACCCACTATTCTCATACCCCCTCCCCCCCCCCCCCCCCCCCCGAGTTTTTTTTTTTTTTTTTCCCCCCCCCCC